GGTGAGCGGAGGGCAGGGCCCTGCCGGCCACCACGGCTGCCGCTGGCATCAGACACACACGGTCTTTTAGTACTGCAAGGAGAGAGATGAAGCCCTTCCCTCGATAGGCAACGCCAGCCCCTCCGCAGCCAGGGAGCTGCCAAGTCAATGGTTTATTTCAAAGGGGTCTGAATTGGGCTTTGTAGGCACGGAAGCRTGAGCCTCATTTCTGACGCCATGAAGACGCATCAGTTATTTCCATTCCAAGTCTATTTGTAGGACAGAAATGTGGCTTTCTTCCTCTTTAGTTCTCTTTAAATGTTACATTATTTTAAAATACAGTCTGTCAGGGGGAAAAAAAATCAAATSTAAGGCTGGAATGGTGAAGCTCGGGAATCCCAAGACCTCTGGACCGCATGGATCACAAACCGTCCCACTTGCAAAGAACCAGAATGACCCTGAGGTACCCCAAGCCCTGCAGCATTAACTTTGTTTCTCCCCATCCTCTCTCTGGTTTATACTGGTGTCTTAGCRTTACTTCAGCGGTGGTGTTCAAGCACACACAATCTCGTGCATACACGTAAGTGCAAATAAGTTGTTAAAACACAGCTACCAGACAATATAAACAGCATTAACAGTCTGGCAGCTGCCCTCCTGCAGGCCACGACGGCAGCAGAGACAGAACTTCCACCTCATTTCTGGAGAAAAGCTACAATTGTGGGCCCGCTTATGTAACCGCTTCAGTTCAACAGAATTGCTTTCTGCCTTTAAGCTGCTCAACAGTTTATCTTTGCTGTCGGGCTCGGTGGGGCTTTCGTTAAACCGTTATGGATTAGCACCGTGCTAGAGCATGTGGAAAGCTCAGCCTAGGTTATTTCTGTCCAGCGAGGGGGAGCAGGCTCAGGTGCAAGCGAGCCACCGGGGCCCGGTGGATGCTCGCTCAAAGCATCAAATTCAGGATTAGCACCAGGTACAAGGCACAGCTAGATTCTTCCAGAGACAGAACTAGTGGCGAGAGCAAAAATATTCATTAAGAAAGACGCAACTTGACGAATTTGCATAATCTTTAATTTGTAAATACAAATTTGAATTGGCATTCAGACATCCATCACACTCACCAGCTTCACATGGAAGACCGAACAGTAAATGTTTTAAAAACTTGACTATTGACGTTGGCTGATGATTTCACTAACACTGCATTATTGCTGCAAGTTGGAGAGAGAAGTCCAGCCAAAAGCAATGGTTTTACTTCCATTCAGCTGCAGGAAGATCATTCACCACAACTTACCTGAAAAACCCTGACCTGAAACTCAAATATGCTGCTTACAGGGAGGCATTCAGAAAACCCTGATCAGACACTCAGTGAATTTCACAGGGGATTCATCCACAACAAAAGCACATGATCTATTCCAAGATTACAGTATGAACTCAGGTCCAAATTTCTGCTATAGATTGCCAATCACAATATACTACTGTAAACCAAATCCAATAATTAGCACTTTTGTTTGACCTCTGTGTAATCTTGCAGATTTGCAGATGTCAGCCTGGGAGGCAGTAAGAGGTTGTGCTCCTGAACGTTGCCAATAATCCCCTGGGCAGCCAAACATTATCCAAGGAAACACTAATTCTGMGATCAGTCACGCTGGCAACCGTATGACCTCGCAAGGTTCCTATCTAGAGTGAMGCAGGGAGGCACTTTCACATTGCTAAGAGCAACAGAGACTCTGCAGAAGTGAAAAATAATAACAATAATAATAATAAAGGTTTTGTAAGGTACTGGGAAAAAGAGAAACACAAAACTAGGGAAGTAATTAAAAAAAGAGAAAAAAAAACTCATTGCAATTAGTGTGCTGTTTGTTTTGCCTCCTTATYGGGAGGGATCTTTATTCTGCACATTCCAGCAAATGGCCATTTGCTGTTAATTTATCTTCTTTCTGGCGGCAAGCGGAGCCCCATTCCAGCCCATCAACATTCCCTCGATGCTGCTCTGCTCAACGCTCGCGTGCTATTTAAACAAAGCATATTCCAACCAGATCTGACTATATATGGAATTCCCTGACAAAAATTTGGATGCCCTACAGGAAAGGGCCACGAAAGCAGAAAACACACACGAAACACTCCCAACTTCCTGTGCTAAAAGAGGCTCTTGGTGGCAAAGGTCAGGTACCCAGTGTGACCGACCATCTCCCTGAGCGGGACAGCACTTTTGAACTGCACAGTTCCTTGCTGCGGATTAGTGCCCGGGCTACCTTGACTTGACGGGTTGCTGCTGTCAAAGCCAAAGCTCGAATTATCCTCAGACGCTTTTCCAAGGTCAGGGATTTGCAAGCTAATTGTCCTGACGTTGTACACTCGCAGCAGAATTTCCAAGGTGTTAATCTCCGTAAAACCATGTTCTTCCATGGCCAGGCAGGTTCTTTGGACTTGTTCGATGCAAGGGGAGAAAGAGCAGATGCGGCCACCTGCAAAGTAAGTCAGGGAGTAGCAAACAAAGGGAAAAAAAACACAGAAATTTCTTTTTATCTTTATTCCTGCACACAGAACAGAGAGAATGAAGAATTTCTCCAAGAAGAAGGTATCCAAAGAAACTCTCCAAGAGGCACCTGTGCAGGTGTCAAGTACCAGCACAAACCAAAATGCAGGTTATTTTACAAGATACTTCAGACCCTTCAGAAGCTGCAAGGGCAAATTCGTTATCCTCTGAACGCAAAGGTGCCCCCTGCACGTTTTGGTGATGGCGCTACCAGAGCGGATCGCTTGGGACCGATGACTCGCTGGAGCGCTCCGCTGCTCTGGGCTGGGGCTCCGAGCTGCGTGGCACCTACACAAGGGCAGAAGTCACTCTGCGCGCGCTGCTCCGAGCTGCCCTCGCTGCAGCGCCCGGGCGTGCACACGCGCGCTGACAAAAGCGCCTGTGTGTATGTGGGCACCATGGTATGTGTGCGCAGAACGAAGCAGCCTCCCCAGGCCATAGATGGAGAGCTGCTGAGGCTTTACCCTTTTAGTCGAGCTCGCTAGCAGATCTCCTCTGCATTAGCGTGTGCTGCACATCACACTGGGCAGCTCTGCTTCAAAACCCTTGAACTCTAGTACAGGACTTTAACTTGTCTCCCCGTGCGCGAACTGCTCGGATTTTTGCTCTTAAACACAGAGTATTAATAATCCCCCTTGCAACTTTCTACTTGCTGCAATGTCACCTTAGCAGCTGAGAATAGAATGATTCAGATTTACTCTGAAAAGCCACAGCCAAATCAGATCAAAGAATTATAAGGACACTGCCATAAAGCCAGGGCATGTGCTCTCACCCAGGACACGCTGTCCCGAACGGCAACTGCCCCTCCTGAACAGCTTTCACACTGGAGGAGGAGGAGGGAGAGCTGCACCACACAGCTTCAGCTACTGCTTTAATTATTACAAGGGGAGGAAAATGTTTGCTGACCTGATTTGCATTCCTTCCCAGCCCTCTCCCAGGCTTATCCAGTGGAGCTTTCCAATACCAGTTGTCTCAAGGAGCCCGTGCAACTGAGAGCAGAGCATCCTGCTAAAAATAGAGGCTACACTGGGACTACACGAGTTTGCTTTATCTCAAACTAACCCCCTCCTGCTTTTTGTTTCCCCCTTCTCGTTTCTGAAGTCATCTCTCTAAAAACAGAAGTCCGAGCGCGTCACTGCAGCGCTGCAGCTCCGTGCGCGGGGATGCGCAGGGCACTGGTCGGGGAAGGATGCTTTCCATGACCACTAATCCACCATACACTAAGTAGGATTTAATTTCAGTCCTGGAATAATGTCTCTGCATTATTCCAGGAGTTCTTATCGTGTATCTGCAGAACAAAGCACCCGGACAAGCAATTCCCCAGAGTCACAATTAAAAGACAAATCTAATAATCACCTGCAAATAATGTTGGGATGTGTCTCTATTAACTGACTCTGCAGATGCCAATTTAACAGCAGACTCATTCTGCTGGCCTGTGTGAAATTACATTAGTATGTTCATCAGCACGGCCAGGGTACCAAAATGGACGTGRATCAGACACGTCTCATACAGTGGATGCAGGAGGCGGCGGCTCAGGAAGCTCTGTGCTGCTTCTGTGCTGTCTAATTATGCTGTTACATAATTAGACAGCTACTATGATGCACATGCAATAAAGAAAGATGTTCTATTCCTATTGTGTAAGGAACTGAACAAACGTCTAACTTAGCTAAATGTCAACTCACAATAACTCTTTGTCTACAAAGCAAGAATTTGCAGCGAGATCRGAGATTTCCTACTACTTCATTCAGGGTTTTTCTGTAGCTCTGTTCTGAGCTTTGTGTAGAAATAAAAAAAGGCAAATGTATTTACATTTGCAGTAAGTTGGTTCTCCTGATCTATGCTGTCTGCAGGAACTTCAAGACATCCTTCAGCATTCAAATTCCCGGGCACGTTYACATTTACAGTCCAAAAGCAAGAGRGCTGCTCGCGGTCCCCTTGGTCCAGGACAGGCTCCGTGTGTCCGTGCCAGACTTGGGGCTCATTTACCAGACCACCTGCCTGCAGAGGGGGCTGCTGGAAGATGCTGTGCTACACACCGCGGCCCTTGGAGCCACCCGGGAGGGAAGAAAGGTCTTGTTTTAATAGCCAATATCCAAGGGAAGGGCAGAATGAGATTAACCTGCCTGACTGCMGGGAATTGCTCAGGTGCTAAGAGGGAAAACAGTTTAACAGCTGCTATTCCATATAATGTGAGTGGGTTTTAGTAGTTTTATCATTTCCAAATGCAATAYGCGTTCAGCTGGTTGTTATTTACTTTGCCCTGTCCCCCACCACAACTACAAATAAGCGAGCACCTCTCTTCATGGATCTACCACGTGGGAAAGGGCTTTCCTGGGCTTTTTCCTACACGGGAAGGGCTGGATCTGACTTGCAGGCTGGACTTGTTTGATGAAGCAGAAGGTTGGAAAGCTACAAACTCTGAAAGTGGATAAAGCAGGCGGGGAAAATAAAGCGAAAATGAAACTGCAGTTTCAGACTGCAAGAGGTCGTCTCAAAAAAAATACAGGAAGCTTCAATGGCCACGGTGTCTTTGGAGCAGCAAGGAAAAAGGCCTTTGGAAAACAGAAATGGAGCACTCAGAGGGACGCGCTCTTGTGCTCTGCACACAGAGGGGCTGGGTTACGAGCTCAGCAACACCCGTCCCGCCACCATCACCACCCGGACACAATCTGGAGTTCAGCATTTGCAGGTCTCAGCTTCGGTCATGGGCACCAGAGTGCACACAGAGGAGCCGGGTGCTCCCTCCTGCCCTGCTCCGGGCACACAGCGGGTCACAGACAGTGGGGCTGGACCAGACCCCAGTAAAACCCACCACGCTGAAGCTTTTTAGTACAAAGGCAGCTTGTGTACTTGAGAGACCTCCTCTTAGGAAAGCTACTGCTCCTAAATTTGTTTAATGAGATGTGTGTCATCATAAATTGATATAGCAATTATCTGAGATTAATCCTGTTCACATTGGGAAGCTGTGTGAGCTTTTTGATCCTGAAGAGCTGTCTAAAAATGKGTTTATTCATGTATAATGCATCTGACAAGTGCTACAGTTGAGGAGAGAATAATGAGTCTCTATGAAAGACTTATTTTTTTTTTCCCATCTTCAATTTTACAGGCGGTGAGTTTGGTTGAAACATTGAATGGAGAGGTTAAATCTCCTCAATTTATAGGCTGGGAATRAGTCCACATAGTCCTAGCAGTCACTGTAACTGTAGGGTCAAGATCATACAAAATGTAAAGTACAATTCAAACYGGAATGATGAGAGAGGAGAGCATAAAGGCAGGGGAGAAAATTAATGMAAAGCTTTATATCTGCACAGCACTGGAAGTGCCACGAGTGCTCTGACAGGTTTCTTCACTATCACAATGTTATTCAGAGGACACAAAATAAACATATGAAGCGCAGCACTGCTAAGTTTCATGGAAAGGGGCCCAGCTCTGTGCTGTGGAGTACACAACAGCATCCTTATTCCTAGTAAAAGGAGCACAGCTCTGTGTTTTAGGGTTTCAGTGCATGGTCATAACTGGAAAGTTAAGAGATCCTAAGGAAAACAAACAAGCAGGCACTAATGTTGTGTAGGGGTGAGGCATCACCATGCCATTTACTCAGTGCAAGCAGGACACTAAAAATATTGCCTCTGAAAAAGGGGACAGAATGTCCTTTAAGCGAGTGTGCTTGTGGGCGACTTGATGCAGCTTCCCTGACAAGTGAAATGAGAGGATTTGGTTGTTGGAGGGAATTAACGGATGCCTCTTGATTCAGAAAAAAAAAAACCCTGTTCGCCAAGTCACTCGCCAGCTCATTAACAGGGGTTTAGTGTGTTTGCCTGCAGAGGCTGCCTTGCCTTCTCTGCTTGCAGGTACATCCTTCAGGAAGAATTCATTGGCACAGATGGGAAAAGGCACATAACAGATATTAATAAAATCAGTTGGCTCCAAGTTTAGGAAAAAAACAAAAAGCCCAGGAACTTTCTTTAAGGTTGAAGCTACCTCCTGCAAGCTGTGCAGAGGCCACCAGCTCTGGCCAGGGCTCCACTGCCTGGACTGTGGTGCAGAAGCCCTGCTGCTTGACCCTGTGTGTGAGACCCACTTTTATTTCAGGCCAGGGGCAGCCCTAACAACCTCTGAGAGACCTTTCCTACCTGAAAACCCTGCAACAAAACACACCGGCTGCGCTGGCTTGGTGAAGAGCCAACCCTTGGGAACCAGACGAAACGGCCTTGGGACACAGCAACCAAACCCAGGGAAACAGCTTCACACTAGCCCAGATGGTCCCTCGATGCTTCAACTTCAAGTTAGTTTGTCAATATTTACCYTTTCCTGGAGCTCAAACTCCCTGGAGTCAAAGCAACCACTGCACTTACTAAGGTGGGTGCTGAGATTTTAGAAGCACCTCTTGTTTCATCCATTTATCCCCTCTGGAAACTAAAACTCACCACTATGATTGAGAGCACATCGCTTCTGAAGGGCTTTTGTGACAGCAGGAAATAGAGAGGTTCTCCAAGGAGACATTTAGAGGCACCTCACCTAACAGAGCTTTGGGGAGACATGACAGCACCATGTTATTTTGTTCAGGTATTACAAATCACAACATGTCTGACTGAAAAYTTTGTGACATTCAAGATGGAGTGCTGAGTTCAAATACAACAGTAATTTTTTTTAAAATTACTTTAAGAGAAATAAAGGAAAGCAAAAGAGATCTGACTTAATAATTCTGTTGTCCAGACTATTGATTTAAATATACTAAGGATTGATTTATACTGTAAGAGACCAATCCAACCCAATATACAGATGGTATTGTTCAATCTCCCTACATGAAAATTTAAAATCTGTACAGAAAATATTGTATAAACGAGTTTCTGCCTCATATTCCATGGCTTTGAAAGAAACTAACAATATTTATGAGAGGAGAGTAGGTGGGTGCAGAATTATAATAAAAGCACTACAGTATTCAGCTGTGTGATGGCTGTGAGTCAAAAGTTTCAGGGCATTTAAGAACTGTAGGATGTTGTGGATTTTTTTTGTTACTTCACAGAATGTCAGTGACGGCTTCATTTTTCTCCCTTTCAGTCTGAAGGGTTAATAAGAACTTTGCAGAAACACCAAGGTCAGATATTGAGAACAGCAGCCATCGGGGCAGAAGAACATTAATCAGCAGCTGCTGCAACAGGAAAACAGCCTGGCTCTGGAAATGAAAGCAAGTTCTGCAGTGCAGCAGTACCCAGGAGATGTTCGGAGCAGCATTTCTGCTAAAGGTGACTGGGGAAATCAGCACAGGAGGAGGCAGCTGAGACCACAGCACCACTAAACACAAACTTTGCAGCCACAAAGTCACTGGGCCACTTTACCCTCTTTGCTCTTCACACATGGCAGTGCTTTGAATGGCAGGCCAAGCTACTGAAAGCTGCGTGTTCACAGCAGAGGCACAAGGCACAACACGAGTGGCAAACGTTCCCTGTAAAGAGGATCGCTGACGTGGCCTACTTAAACAGAGAGCTGCAGCTATCCAGGGTCTTGAGCCTGAGTAGGAGAGAAAACACTGGTTTGATAAGGATTTGTTAAGGTTAAGAATCCTCTCTTCACTGTCTCAGCTGAAGACTCTGTAATGAATATTGTGGTTTCAGAGAGGAGGCTATGTGATGTTCTTGTATTGAACTCACTTAGCCCTCACTTAAATTAAAGCATCTTAAGACTTCAAGAAATCAATGGCCACTCTCTAGCAGCAGAGTTGCAATGTTTGCAGTATGTCTGATGATAATAACCCCTACAATGTCAAAAGTTCAAATGTGACCTGTTCTGATGTGAGAGGGAGGCAGTGGAGGGAAGAATGAAACGACTCATTTTCTCCAGCGATGCTTTATCACGGCACTAACCCTGGGAATGGTGGTGAAAGCAGCAGTTAGTGCACAGGGCATTCTCACTACAGAAGAGCTCCAACTACTTGAAAACAAAACAAAACAAACAACAAAGCACTACAAGATAAACTGCTGGAGGTAGGGAAAGTGCAGGAGTTACAGATAACCTCCTATCATKTTTTAGAATTTATACCAGCAAAAAACACAAGCTATCCACAAGCTTTGGAGTAAAACAGAAATGTGGGTATGTTTATACCCATTATTACTGCTATCAATTAGACTTTATACAAAAAAGAAAAACAGTTTTTGCTTATTACAAAACCAAAAAATGGCCCTTGGTTCAATCAGATACTACAAAACTCAAAAGATGAGTCTTAGACTAACCCCAGATCTCAGACACGACCAGCTGTTTGTAGCTAAAACTAGAGCAAGTATCAGCAACTTCACCTTTTGACTGGAACATAAAGCACGTGATGCAACTTTATAAATAACGTGGATTTTATTTTTTAATTATTACTTTATGCTAGCTAGGCAGATGCAGCCTTGTAGCATACACAGAGCACAGCCAGTTTGGGACCGTCATCTCTTTTCGAGGACTTGAAAAGCTGAATTGAAACAAGGACTCAAAACTTGGAACTGCTCAAGCTGCTCTGCTTGGTATTCTAAACATGCACCACTTAAATCATTCAAATTGGGCTGCGCAATGCAGTGCCTCCTTCTAAGCTGGGAAGTCAGCTGAGTGTTGTGCTCACTAGATTAGATAATTTGAGCCTGGGAAGGGCATCGTACAGTGCAGTGAAAATTATTTTTCCCCAGGGCACACTGGAAAGCTGTTACAAATTCAGCYGTAACCCTTGCAGGTACCGTGTTCACAAGTCTATTTGCTTACTTGGTATAGGAAGCACGTGCTACACTGCTACTGGACCTAGAATATTGTCAACTGTGCTAAGGGAGCCCAACACCCAGGTTCTGACCTGGCAAGGTATTTAACATTCAGTGACCTTTAGGAAAAAATATAAATCCCCTTAATTTCAATATGACAGAGCAATTCACTCCAAGTCAGGCCTGTATTTATGTATTTTATCCAAAAAAATAAAATATCCTTGAATGGAAAAGTCATTCTTGTAAAGGAAACTGATCTTGCACAGGTTAGTTTTGATTCACACCTGTACTGTTACATTGGTAGAAAGTTCAAAAGCGGAAAGCTTTGCCAGGATAAGAGAATGATTTATTYCTTGAATCTTATTTTTCTTAGGGAAAAGACTTACAATTAACCAAAAGAATTCATCAAGTACCTCAGCAGGAGTTCCYACTTGCTGTCACAACCCAGGAATAACTGGCATAAGCTAGAACAGCCAATAGGCTCCATTCACACTCCAATGGCAAACCTCCTAAACTCCAAAASAAGAGATTTAGCATAGGAATTGGCAAGCACATTTCAGTAATAATTACATTTTCTTTGACATTTCTGATGGGGTGCTCTGGTAAATAGCACCAACAGTGCAGTGCTTAATGGGAAGTGTGCCCAAACACCTTCTTTACAAACACCTTTCCACTGAAGTGCCAAGAAAAATTGCTTTCAGCAGTTATTGTTGCTGCTGCTTCCTACACACTCTTAGATCTAGCAAAATGCACCTGACAGAGATTCAAAGGTTCTCGTGTAGGGCCCATGCTAGTTGTAACAGCTGGAACAGGCCTGTAGGAAAAAGCTGCTCTCCTTTCAGGTCCTGCACTATGAATTGATGACCTCTTTAAGGGTTTTCATTCTTGGAAAACACTAGACTGCCATTTGAGAGCAACGACCACAGAACAGAAAGGCAGCAGATGCAGCACACAGCTCAAAAGYAGAGACGTGTGAGCGCACACGGCATTTCCTAACCAGCCACAGACAGAAGCGCAGTTACCTTCAGCTTTTAACGCCRCCTTTGCGTGTCCTATGGCTTCCCACGGAGACGGGATATCGAGGAACACAGCGTCGGCGACGCCGGAGACCCCAAAGCCGCTTTGGCAGACGTCCTGGTTGGTGACRGTGACGAGATGCTCCACGCCGTGCTCGCGGAACTCCTCGCGGGCCTTCTCAGCCCTCTGTTGGTGGAACTCCACCGTGTAGAGGTGCCCCGTGGGAGCCACCGTCCTGATGAGGGCGTGCGACAGGGACCCGCTGCCCGTACCTGGAGAGGAAACGCAGCTGCTGAGGCACCTTCGTGGGCACGCCGGGCTGCTCCACTTGGAAGAGCTGGGCAGAGCCAACACAAACTGAAACCACTGGTTAAACTGAAGGGGAAAGGTCTTCTATTCCCATGGGCTAAATAACCTAGTAAATTGTCTTCTGGATCCCAAAGCCTAACTAAAAATCTAGCAACATTTGGACTGCTCACGCAGCCTTGGAGCAGAAGGTAGTGACAAATGTAAGCCATAGCTTTGAAAAGGGCTCTCTTCAAAAAGAGAGCTGAGAAATTAAGCACAACAAGAAAAAAAGTCAGGAAAAATTGCCTGAGGCTTCTTCCCAATGTACCAGACTCTTCCAGGCTAAAGAGATGCTGGCAAATTACAGCATATTTTGAAAGCTTGTACTTCATTAAAAGAAGGAAGAGAGATTGGCAGGTGTCCTGTTTGAAAAGTCTACTGGCCTCCACTCAAAAAAAATGGTTTCCTCAACATGGAATTTATTTTACTCAAGCCTCTTAAAGTCTGCAGCTTCCCCTGAGATTACTCCAAACTGAGACCTTGGGGCTCCTTGCACTCACCCTGACCCCCATGACCTGACCCAGYAGGTGATTTAAATATACTCCTACACAATCTTAAGGGAGTCTCATGAGACCCATCACATACCTGAAGTTGCAAATAAGCAAAGCTATCACATACAATTAAGGCCTAACTATCAAGACACATGATGTTTTTGTTTTAGTTTGCTAATTTAAAAACTCTTTTTAATGATCCATTAGAGTATTAAGTAGACGAATGACTAACAACCAACATTTTCACTGAAGGAAACACCCATATGCAAGTTCACATTGCAAATTCCTCACTGAAATGGTATGTAACAGAATAAATCTCCAAACTCAAAATGCCACAGCAACCTCAAATTATCTGTGTTTATTGATTTGTAATTCCRTAGCCAGAACATGTTCCTTCTGTAGAAAGCCTGTATCTAGCTATATATCTAGATATAGATGCATCTGCACAGCTAGTCATAAAGCTATATCTGTATCTCCAATGACTCAGGCTAAATTTCAGCCTGAAGCAAGTTCTTTCAACTAAAGTATAAATCTTATAAAACTTATAAAGGACAACCCGAACTACAGCAGTGGGAGAGAGGGCTCACAAAGTAAAAATTAGAGGAGACCGGGTTTGGGATAGCTGCTTACCTGCAGCAATACGTTCCAGTAACTGTACAAGTTTACAGAATTTAGTGACAAATCCCAGGTTCCTGCCCTTTAATCATAAAAGGGGAGAAACACTTTGTGGGACTGCATTTAATCAGACAACTCTGCAAGGGAAGATCTCCAGGCTGTAAATTGCCCATGTTTGCCGTGGGATCAACCAAGGTTCCTGCAGGATCAGTACCGCATCCCTGCTCAGGCYTGCACCTTCACCCAGCTTCTAAAGTGCAGATTAGACAGGGAGGGCTCACAAATTGTACAGCTGCCCCAATGAGGTCCAGGGGAAGGGAGAAACTCTGGCACAAACATTKTTTTAAGGTAAATTATCCATGCATCCTTGTCGTGATTGAGACAGAGCAAACAAAAGCCACTAGACGGTTGCATAGGCACACATGAAAAACTACCCGGTCACRGCACCTGTAGGCTTTGAATGTCAAATAAATTCTTCCTTGCTCAATATACATGCAAGTATCACAGCAGCCACGTGGTTGTTAAGAACTCAATGATATATATGGACAGAAAAGAAATAGCATTTCATCTTTTTTTTTTTTTTAATGACAAAAGCAGGGTACTACTGCTCMCAAACTGCTGAAATGATCAAAACACTGTCTTTGTATCTCCCAGCAGACAGCAGGGTTGCAAGCTGAGAACTTTTGCAAACATACTGAATTTCACTATTTCCCTTCCAAACGGGCAATGCTGCACATTTTCTTCATCTTTCCTTGCTAATCTGCAGGGCTGAACAGAAGGGCTGTCTGCACAGCTGGGGTGTAAGCAAAAAGAGAGGCAGCTTGTGCATGTATCTGGTTTCCTCGTTCATATTCTTCTACATTTTTAATCGCTGTCTTTTGAAATCTGCTCTTAAAAACATGACAGAAGATACTGTTTGTCTCCTTCCTAAGAAATCCCATTATGAGTTTCTGGCTTACTTTCTGCTTCTCTATTTTGTTCACAAACAGTCCTAGTCAAACCCAGAAGCAAAAACAGGATGTTGGAAGTCATCGCTTGCAGGCGTGTATTACACACGGAGCTTACGTTGAACGAGGTTACCAGCAGTTATTTCTTGTTGACTGTGAACAGGAGAACATGCATGTCATATTCTCAGATCTAACGTCACTAATGGGAGCATTTCTGAAGATGCTGTCTGCCTTCTCCCTGACAACACCCTCAGAAAGGCAAGGAGAGGAGAACAAGATTGTTATGAATCAGCCACTGTTTTGCAGATTTCTTCTCTTCCTGAAGAGATCGGATTCTGATTCCAGCCCAGCGAGGTGATGAGGACGCTCACTGATCTCTTATGTGTCTGGCTGTTCAGTGCTGCTGAGGTTCTCATCAAGAATATCCTTTCTGGGGGTCCGGCAGTTCAGTCACAATCACTAAAACYCCATCAACACTATCCATGCAAACCCGATCAACACTATCTGTACAAATCCAATTAACACTATCTGTACAAACCCAATCAACACTATCTGTACAAGTCAGGGTTTCAACTGCCATGGCTTCTCCAGTGGAAAGGCGAGTGAATGTCTATTAACAAGCACCATTTTCACCTCCTCTCATGCAAATTTGCAAAATCTGACATTTGAATTCTCCCATTACCTCCGCAATTCTTTGATTTCTCTCTGCCCTTATTTCCAAATCATGACTGAAAAAAAGGGGCAAATTCAGCAAATGTCACCCATAAAGTCTTAGGGAACAGTTGGAAGTAGGTTCTGTTCTGGTTCAAATTTTCTTGGGAAACGATAGGTATCTTTAGCATGATACAAAATTAGTCAGGAAGGCAGCAAAATCCAAGAAGCACTACTGAAGACRTGGACCAGAACATTAGCAAAACTGAAACAGTGAAGCTGAATTACATGCTGGAAAAAAAACAAAACTTGAATGCCTCAAATATTTTATATTAAGAGGCCAGCTCAAAACTGAACAGACTTCAGGAGTTTAACATTGCCATTAGTGCAGTGAAATGCCTGTGTTTCTAATTTGGTCTAGAAAGTAGAATATAAAATAATTTCTGGAATAATTACAGCTCATAGCTTTTACACCAGGATGTTTGCAGTTCTTGCATCATGCATTAAACACAGCCTTAGAAAGTGTTTGCTCTCTACCAGAGCACAATGCTCATTTAACTAGAGCGTATGAATGATGAATGGAATCTAGGGGAGAGCTAAAACTAGGTTACTTGAGGCTGTGCTAAAGCCAATCTCACCACCATGGCTGCTGCTTTGAAGCTCACTTCGATGAAGAAATTCTATCTGTGAATCCTATCCTGCCAATCACAGGCTACACCTGCAGAGACTTGTGAAAATATGCTGACTATTGTATGATTTTAATGATCTTGGTCAAAAAGCAGACGACTGCACTGCAGGCAATCACTCCTGCCCACAGCATCCCCACTATGCTGGGCTCAAAGCTCACGACCTGATGCAGAGGCATCGTGCAGGGGATCAGCAGGCCACGAGAAGTGGTCTATCTTAATCCAAAAAACACTCACCTACTGACATCTCCTCTGGATTTGTGGACCAGAAAGCCAGATCTGATAAATGCTCAGATCATTCCTCTGACCTCAAACACACTTGCTCTTCTCCCTCCCTCCTTACTCAAGTGACAGATGCTGCACAGAGAAGCCTCCATTCACCTTGGCGACAATGTCCACACTTAAGGTTGTTCCTCACCCTTTCAAACTGCAGTAGGCAACATCTGACCCCTTCAAAAATAACAGGGTATGACTACACTATATAGATACCCACCAGAACACTGTCAAGAGAAATAGAAGCATTACCACAGCATCAAACACGGCACTTGACTGACATATAGCTCAATGAGAGGATTTTTACACTACGTTTTCTATTTAGCCTGGTTTTCTTATTGCAAAGGATATCCGGGTTGCCTTCTGGACTCCCACTTGTGCTATAAACACAGGAGACCTGATTTTTCATTCAACTACTTTTATTTTTTTCAGTGCAGCTGATTGCTCAGCTTGCTGCTCCAAAATCTATAGGCACGGTTGCTTTTTTTTAAGAAGGGAAGTCAAGCTGTGATTCGAGACACACAGACGTCAACAATTGTGCAGGTGCAAAAGCATTTGCCAGGTAGCACAATATGGCAGGTTTGCAATCTGGMGTAAAGCTGACAAAGAACTTAAAACCATATACAGATTCATATTGTTGAGAGGCTGGAAAAGTGAAAAATATGCAGAATATCATTAAATACTGGGGCAATATAAYGTGTAATAATATTTCATTATAACCAAAGTATCTACTGTAAAATGKCACCACTTAAGATATTCTGAAATCAGTAAATACAACAGAACAATACAAGYGTTGCCGTATTTGTTTCCCAGCTACAAAACTTAAACCTAGCAAATAAGAAGACAGGTCAYGAGTCTGCCATAAGAAGGGATGGAGCCTCAAAACCAGAAGAAAATTAGGCTTAAAGAGGGTTAACAACTCTGCAGCTARTATCTGTCAAGAAACACAGTGCAGAGGAAGGCTGCTCACCATATATGACAAGTTACATAACTGGAGATCATTAATCACTGCTAGTGAATATACGAAGAGATCCTCAGCATCTGCTGGAAAGTAATGCAATAATTTCATGGTGAAGGCAGTTGCAGGCACAAATCATGGGCAGAGGAGAAAGGGGGCATGAGTGGGCACAGAGGGAAGGAGGGAGGACAACAGCCAGAAGATGACCTGGCTACTGGAAGAGGAATCTGCACATCCAGAAGTTCCCTGTACACCAGATAAGCTCTTTCTTCTGTCCATCTGTTCTGGACTAATGGTGGAAGCAGGCTGGACGCCAGAGAGGATCACTGCTCATTGACTAGATTCAGAAGATAGGGCAAGAGTCAGAGAAGCAAAAGTTGGAGTTCTCCAGCAAGGGATTTTCTGCAACCTGGATCTAATATTTTACAACTTGGTGGTCAAGTGAAATGGTAAGCTGAATCCAGAAAGTCTGGAAACACATGTTTTTGGGTATGAACAGCAATCCTCATCAGGAGCAGCTCAACCCTAAGTTTGAATACACTACAGTGATGCATCATGTGGCCACAGTTTTGTTTCAGTTTTGTGGTATGTCAAGAGAATATTCTGTTTGCTGGCATTTGTATATATGAGGCCTTTCTTAACCTTCAAAGTTATAGCTAGATAGGGATCAGGTTTTCAAGTTCTTCTCTAACACTAAGCTATAGMGCAAGGGAGATGTTGTAAAACATATTCACATGGATAAAAATCACATACTCATGCTCAAAAATCAAATTAATACTTGAAAGCTTTGGAGTATACTACAGATATAGCTGCAATCAGTTTACATACACTTAGCCCCCAGAGATGGTACCAACATGAGTAGTATTTATCAAGAAGTCTCTAAGCACCTCAGGAGACTCGCAAGCACCATTCTGACTTGTTGGGACTCCACAATAAACCGTTAATCATTTATTAAGTATCCATTAATCATTAAGTGCTCATTAATTTTCTATGAGTGTACTGTCAGTAAAATCTATACCTTGCCCACAAGTTAGAAAATTTCATAACTGTTTCTGAGAAGTTCCAATGTAAGACTGGCCAACAGCTCGTTACCCCTTCACAGATAAGTCATGAGGACCTGTGATACTGGTCTCAGCCTCAGAAACTTAGTTCCTATTGCTGTATGGCAATGAGCAGGGCTTAGCAAATTTTAATTTGGGATTTAGCTGAAGGCAAATAAAAATTCCAATTAGCATTTACTCAAGTGAGACTGGATATTGTTGAGAGCTGAAGATGGTCAGGACAGTGGTTGGAATACTTTTGCCTACGTTGCATTTTGTCTAAAAACAATGGTCTGTCAAAGTCCAAATCCTTCTGAAATGTATCACATTAAAAGAGGTTTTGTAGTGTTGTGCTGCACTCACTGAGTAATTCTGAAGGCCAGAGCAGAACAGTGCTCTAGCCTTCTAGCAGAACAGTGCAGAACACTGGTTTAAGTCTCATCAGGGAGAGAGGACAGTTAAAAAGAAAAAAAAAAAAACAGAGAGATGTGGGGACTAGGAGAAAAAAAAATGTTTCCATATTCTTTTGTTTAGCAAAAATACCTTAAAAAGTCTTATAAATTTTCCATGTAGTATAATTTCAAAACCACAAGGTTTTTCTTTGTTGGACTTGTGTTATCCTCTGAATAGCTCTAATCACTAGCCTGAAAATAGTCATTTAGTAAGTTGACACCAAAATTAATTTTAGAGCAGTGATATGAAAGGAGATTCAGGTTATTTCCTTATCTACACAGTGACTGCACATGCAGTGAACACCACAGGGACAAACTGCATGAGAGAGTTACCTGACGAGGATCAAAGTTTCACACTACCAGACCACCTACAGCAGGAATTTTGCAGCTATCTTTTGCAGTATCCTTCAGTTCTGGAAACATVAAGCTGTTAGGGCTATCAGACTTCTAGTAGGAGCTGAGAAATTCCTCGGATCAAGGAGCAATCTTTCAAGACATCTTAGCTCTAAGAACAGTGCCAACAGTTAATAAATCTCAATATCAATTTATAAATTAGAAATGAGCAGAAGGCAAAAAGAGAAAAGGATGGTATTCCTGTACCTCCAACAGGAAACTTCAGGCAGATGCTGAGTTTCCTTACAGCCTCAGAGTATCACTTTAATTATGCACATACTACTGACAAGCTTGTGCTTTATRTATTTATGAAAGACGATTGAAATAGTAGAAACTGTATATCGTGCTTATATTATTTATGACAAATCATGTCTACTTAATTCAAACAGTGATGTAAAATTAAACCTTTCATTACTGTTTTTCTAACTATATACAATCACAGAATCACAGAATGGTTGAGGTTGGAAGGGACCTCTGGAAATCATCTAGTCCAACCCCCTGATCCAGCAGGGACACCCAGAGCAGGGGGCACAGGGTGGCATCCAGGCGGGTTGGGAAGATCTCCAGAGCAGGAGACTCCACAACCTTCCTGGGCAGCCTGTGCCAGGGYTCTGCCACCATTACAGGAAAGAAGCTCTTCCTCAGACAGAGATGGAACTTTCTGTGTTTCAACTTATACCCATTATCTCTTGTCCTGTCACTGGCCACCACCGAGAAGAGTTTGGCCCCATCTTCTTCGCATTCTCGCTTCAGATATTTATACATATTGATCAAAAGACCATCTCTTCTTACAGCCACAGGCCTGTAACATCACACAGAGGGTGTTTACCACCACATTATCTATCTGCCCTCCATTCAGCAGTGCAGATTAATGCCCAGTTCAGCTTATCCTGGCTAAATGCAGGACACTCTTGCCACGGGCCAGTTAGTAAGTTGGGAGGAAAAGTGCCTGCCCTGTTCATAGCTCCTGCTTTGCCAGGCCACACCGCAGGTAGTTCAGATCAGCTCATGTTCAAAAAAGAGAGACAGACCTCCATGCTAATTAATGCTAAAGATGCACCTAAAGGCAGCACCACCAGGAAATGAGCTCAAACGTCATTACTAGACCAGATCTCCTTTTTTTTATTTATTTCTTCTTCTTCTATTAATCACCTTTGGGCTGGTTCCTTCTAGGCTGTGTAATCTCGCACTAATGATTTCAGACTGCTGAATACAGTCTAACCTAGATGTCACTGAAGAAGGCTACATCATTGCACCAGAGGCCCCCACTGTCAATATCTGCGTATTTTAAACTGAAATTGCCATTTCCAGTCAGTTGTAAGTCAATTAGCAGTACGAGTTCTCCCTTCAAAATTGACTATATAAATTTGAGATCGTATTTTTTTTCTTTTTTTCCTGACAATAAAGCGCCTCAGCAATATAATCACTGCTGCGGTAGCAAAGCAATTCATTTTTTTTAAGTACTTCGAAATCAAAGAAAATAATCATTAAAGAGTTTAGAAGAGTTTCCTATTAACAGAAAGGGTTGATTGTGCTTATGACCTTTGACTCAACATTTCTGGAAATCAAGACAGGTTATATCATTGCGAGTTCTTAGATGCTTAGATAAATGTGATTTTAAACATTTTCATCCTCTCTGGGTACCCTTGACATGGCTGGGAACAYGTCACATGCAGCTCAATACTCGAACACTCTCCTGCCCTGAGTGAGGCAGGACACGCAGCAACTCAGCTCACTCTGAGCAATGTCATGTTTTTATTTTTCCCATCCCGTCCAAACAACATAGGGAGGGAACAGGTAAAGAGCTGCCCAATGAACAATATATCTATATCCCATGACAATACCAGAGCTGATGGGTAGTCCTACAGGATGGACTATAAACTCACAGGGCCAACAGCTGTACCAGAGGCTTCTGCATATGACTTTGCCTGTCCCAAATGCCATTATATATAGCAGTGAGGGATTTAAGCTGCTTGTACCATCTATTTCTTAATAACTGTTTCTTAATATTTCTTAATAACTATTTCTTAATAACTGCATGTGAAAGAATGAAAGGCACTGGGCTTGTGCTGGAAAGGCAACATTATGTCTAAAAAGGAAGGAATTTTTAAACCATATCTAACCGGGAGAATATAGATTTAATACAGGATTTAACTCCTCCTTCCTTGTAACTTGTGGAATAGGCTGAATGAATTATAGCGTATTTGCTAAACAGCAMGGATGCTGCAATAAATTAAAGCAATTTTAGAAACAAGACACAACAGTGTGAGGAACAAACCACCCATTGTGTTATCTCTCTACAGTGAGCTTTGAAAGCCACTGCAGTGCTACCAGACGATCACGCTTCGGAAGACAAACATGAAATGTATGTATTTACAGAGTATTATATTGAATAAATGCTGCCTTTTTTTTCCTACTTATTACTAGTTTAACCCCTTGTCATTAGTTTCTTGTTTTTTCCACTATCTCAAATGCTTTCTCTCACATTGAAAATTTCAAGCCTAGTTTTCAAGTCAAAAACAAATTTTCCAATATATTTCTAAGTATTTTACCACAGCGTTGGAAAACAGAAGGAAAAATGTTTATTTACATTAAGAAGCAAAATTAATCAAACATACACCAAAGGTACAGCCCTACGTGAGGTCAGCAGATTGAACTAACATTACTTGGTGAGGACACAGCAATTGCTAACACGTGCAAATGAAACAGATATTCAACATACAGGCTGAGAAAATTAACGGAAAATGGAGAGAAAAAGAAGATTTTTTGCAAAACTGAAAGTTGAGATTGGTTTTCATTAAGGTATTCACATCAGTTCTTAATAAGGGATTTCAACATATGAATTATTACCTGATTCACATACTATGGAGCCCGGCTTCAGCTCTAACATCATGGTGATTATGGAGATGTCAGTGGAATACAGAATTTGTGTCCTGTGTGGAAGATTCACAGTCCACAGCTCTGGTGTTGGATGAAGGATAAACACCCATCCGCCTTTACTGCAGGTCACTTTGGAGCCGTACTTCTTGCCTATGAGATCCGTGGAGTGCCTAATGACCCCATACTTAGTCTGAGTTACGGAGCCATGCTGGACTTTCACGGGAAACATGGATTCGTGGCCCAGGAACACAATGGCTGTGTCACCATCCTTTATCGTATCTCCGTATTCAACGAAACTCATTGTGGCTGCTGGTTTTCACCTGGAAGAGAGTAAACAAACCAGGGAGCTGTACAAGGCTGTGATGAAGCTGAAACTAGAGATAAGAATAAGGTATTTCACTTTCTCCAGGTCAAAAATGAAAAAAAAAACCTACATAAATAAGGTGGTAGCAAGGGAACTCCCCTTCCCTTTCCCTACACTGCACCGAACTCTCAATCCAGTTAAAAAGTTAAAATCAGTGGAAAAATCCCACTGACTTGAATAGCACAAATATTTGTCCTGTGGTATAATATATTTTGAAGCAAGTTTAGCAAATACASTGTAATTCAGTCAGCCTGTTCCACAATGCAACTGGGAAGCTTGCAAGGACATATCTATTTCAGCAGTCTGTTAAATTCCAGCTGACAAGCTCCCGGAGTAGGCTGTTAAGCAGTGCCTTTTATTTCCTTCTGCTACCTTGTCCCTTGGTGACTTACAATGCAAGACAACTGCTATTTGCCAGAATATTAATCACCAGTTACTAGAGCCACTAGCAAAAGTTGCCTTGAAAGTTTTTCAAATGAGGTTCTGAGATTAAATACAGGCAGCATTTGCATTAATTTATCTATAAATTTGACTAAATGCAAGGAACAAATAATACTCGAGCCTTCAATTAGCCATTGGGGGTGCAAGGTAATGGTCTGGAGAGTGGTCTGTGCTGCAACTGGATGGAGACAACTGCTTGCAAACTAATGCAAATACAGCTATATTGTTTAACCCTGTGTTGCTGGAGATGCTTCGAGAATTACAATTAAATTTTGCTATCTTTGAGAAGAAAACTTGGAAATTAGCAAGCAGCTTATTATACGGTCTGGCCCTGCTTTTCAGATAGAGCAGCTACCAATCTAAGCTGCAGCTTCATCAATTTACAGAAGGGAAGRTAATGGTAATCCCAAAGTTTGTAGTCTCTGACAGAAATCCTTGGAAGCTTGAATTCTGAGTACTACTAGTGTAAGAGAACCAAAAGCAGCACTATTTTTTGTTTCAGAATAATGGTTTGATTGMAGTGTGGCTATATTACATGTGTGACTGACCTGTTATACTTGCTTTCACTAAAAACTTTAGTTCTAAATTTCTAGTTTTTCTYGACTGACTCACTGCAGTTCAGTTTGACTCTAAGTAGCAAGATTAATTTCTGTTTTTTTGCTGAAACATTGACACCAAGAAACAAACACATTTACAGAGAAAACTTCCAAAGGTTATGATATGACCCCAGGTAATCACACGGCAAAAGAGCTTAGGCCTGTTGGCTTTAGGGTGAAACTGTAAGGACATACCATTAATTGAGGGGTGTTAACACATTGAACGCTGCATGCAAGATAGTCCAGCTATGGTTAACCCCGTGCCAGAGCTTGCACCATCTGATAATACTGGTGTTCTTCATCTCATAAATCACACCTCTGCCCCACGCTGTAGATGCTATCAGCGAAACATGCAGTTCTCAGTTCTTATTTACAATACTCAAAATCAGCTCGACTGCCATCCCTTTCTCTTACCACATTCCGACTGCTGTTCTGCCAACAGGCAAAAGGAACATTCCCACGTCTGCAGGGACAAAGGAAGAAGTACTCTCCCTTTGATCACATGAACTGGCTCCTACTCTCTTTGCCTTCTTTTGAGCCATCATTTTTATCGTTGGTACAAGCCCGAGACCCACAGCTCCCGGGTACTCACCTGACATGTCATATTCTTACACTTGGGGGTMAATTTGGGCTCTGTGAGCAGTCCCTCTTGCATTACTGTTTGGGTTGTTTCTTTGCTTGCCCTATGGCAAGGGGTAACCTGCAATCCCTAAACATTTTCATTCAGCAAGCTCCCTGTTACCACAGGGCCTAATACCCTGCTGCTTTCTTCATCTTCCAGGCTCTCCTACATCACACAAAGGCCTTGGCACAGTCCTGCCTTTGCCAGGGGTAGCAAAGGGGTGTGGGGGGTAACACTGGCTTGTGGCAAGGGGCTGGGAACTTCCTATGGGACTGCTGTGTTTCCCGTGACYGCAGCGGCCCAGGCCCAGCGACCCTGGTGATCCTTTGCAACCTTAAAAATTAAACCGCTAAGATAACAGTTGCTTTAATAAATAAATAAGCACAGACACTGGTTCCCAGGCCGAATACAACAGCCACACCGAACTTGCAGGGTGCTTCTTCCCACTGGGTCTATAAATAAATAAATAAATAAACACGCACAGACACTGGTTCCCGGGCCCAGGTGCAGGAGAGGCACAACCGCCTCCTTCTCGAGCTGCAGGGTCCCTGGTGGCGACCTGCGACGTGGAGGCTCGCAGAGACCCTCTGTGTGGCTACCAGGTGGCTCCCGGTACCGGTTCCGGTTCCGGTTCTGGTTCTGCAGCAGGGATGCGTCCCAGGCCGCTCCCCGTCTCTTTCTCCCCCGCCGGAGCCACGGGCCGCCTCCAGGGCTGCCGATTAGTGCTGCCCGCGCTGTGGGGGCAGCTAAAAGCACGGATGAAGGGGAAGGGGGCGCGCGCGTTAGCGCCGTTAACCCGCGGCGGGCCCGGGCCGCGCGGCCTCCCCCGGGCCGGGCCGAGCTCCCCCTGCGGCCGCCGCGCTCCCCGCCGCCGTTACCTGGGGGGGCCGAGC